GGCTGACGCCACGGCACTCTAGCCGGGCAACAGAGTGAGACTCTGTCAAGAAAGACGGAAAGGAAAAGGAAAAGGAAAGAAAGGAAGAAAGGAAGGAAGAAAGTGGGGCATTGATAGCCCTCCCTGCGCTGAGTGGGGGTGCGGGAGCTGACAGGGCAGACGGGAGCAGGTGTGTGGCTAGGCATGAGCAGGCAGCCAGGGTCCAACCCTAGAGACAGCAGGCGCCACGTCTTATAGACTGGGGAGGCGACCAGCCCACACGGGAGGCTTCCCCTGCCTGTTCCCGGATCCCACCGCGGCTCAGATCCAGGGGACACAGAGCGCGGGAGCCAGCCAGGCACCACGGGTTGGGAGAGGGGTAGGGGCTCTGCCCTGGGGGGCTGTTCTCACTCCCAGTTTCCAGACCAGACCCAGGTGGGGTGTCACACTGACTGGGAGTCCCATCCTTCTGCATCTCACCGTCTCTCTCGTGCTTTTGTTTTTCCAGTGTTCTCAAAAAGATTTTCTGCAAGGTGAGCTACTAGGTCATTGGTCCCCTGGCGTGGGAGTCCACCACACCATGTCATGAGGTGTGGGTCCAGGAGACTCGGGGTGGGACAGGACGCCCTCCTCCACCCAAGCTCGTGCCGGACACTGCCCACCACCGTGGGCATTCACAGGAGACTCCGAGTATCCTCGGGCGATGGGTGAGGGCACGGCAGAGCTCTAAACCACGTTTCTGCTGCGTTGGATTTACTGTTAACCAGAGAGCAGGTGTTCTTGTCAATAAAGAAAAACAATAAAGAGCACGTGTAAAAGCCAGACTGCCAAACACCAGCGAATCCCCCTGCAGGGTTCTAAGCTCGCTCCGCAAACCTGGTTCACTTTGCAATCCCGGGGTTGGAGGACTGGGGCGGGCGGTGGTGTGGATAATGTCGCAGGCTGGTCCAACTGAGGTGCGGCGCCCACGGGCTGCGTGCAGGGAGGCAGGGGAGTGGGCGGTACATCCAGCAGGCCCAGACTCTGTTTCAGGGGCGCTCTGCAGGCCAACGGGGCTCTCGTGGGAAGGGCGGCCGAGTCCGAGGGATGCTGACCTCCCCCTTTCTCCCAGGAGGCCTTCCGGGTGCTCTACTACACCTACCTCAACGAGGGCTTCCTCAGCCTGTGGCGCGGGAACTCCGCCACCATGGTGCGCGTGGTGCCCTACGCCGCCATCCAGTTCAGCGCGCACGAGGAGTACAAGCGCGTCCTGGGCCGCTACTACGGCTTCCGCGGAGAGTGAGGCCCGGCCCCGCCCACGCCCCGCCCTCCGCCCACGCCACGCCCTGTGCCCACGCCACGCGCTCCTCCCACGCCACGCCATCCGCCCAGCCACGCGCTCCCCCACGCCCCGCCCTCTGCCCGCGCCACGCGCTCCCCCACCCCATGCGCTCCTCCCACGCTCCGCCCACGCCACGCGCTCCGCCCATGCCACACTCTCCCCACGCCACGCCCTCTGCCCGCGCCATGCGCTCTGCCCACGCCACGCGCTCCCCCACGCCCCGCCCTCTGCCCGCGTCACGCGCTCCCCCACCCCATGCGCTCCTCCCACGCTCCGCCCACGCCACACTCCCCCCCACGCCACGCCCTCTGTCCACTCCACGCCCTCCGCTCACACCACGCCCCCCTCTCCACCCTCCCCCATTCCCCCGTAAAACACCAGGCGGTTCTTAAGACCCTCTCAAACACACCCCTCTACTCTGTCACATCGCCCTGCTCTGTCATCAGAGCTCTCCTCAGTTTACCCATCTGTGTCCCTACGCCCCGGCATAAGTGTTGGGGCGGGCAGGCCACTGTGCCCCCAGAGCCACAGGGAAAATACATCATCCATCCATCCAGAGGGAAAGGGCAGGCGCCCCTGCGAATCTCCACGTGACTCCCAATCAGGAGACCCCAGCGCACCTGGTGTGCCGTGGCCGTGGCCTCCCCCAGCTGGACGCGCGGGGGCTCCGGCTGGGCCTGCGCGCACCTCAGCCCCTCACTGGGTCTCGTTTCCCCCACCCGCTTCAGAGCCCTGCCCCCGTGGCCTCGCCTTCTCGCCGGCGCGCTAGCCGGGACGACCGCCGCTTCGCTGACCTACCCCCTGGACCTGGTCAGGGCGAGAATGGCCGTGACCCCAAAGGAAATGTGAGTCCTACCTTGGTGACGCTCTCACCAGTCACAGGGCTCCCAGGTCAGAATCCCTCCACTAGGCCCCTAGGGTTTGGGTCTGTCCCGCTGCGTTAAGAATCCAAAATGCTGGCGGGGCGCACTGGCTCAGGCCTGTAATCCTAACACTCTGGGAGGCCGAGACGGGAGGATCCTTGAGGTCAGGAGTTCGAGACCAACCTCACAAAGAGTAAGAGCGCATCTCTAGTAAAAATAGAAAAATTAGCTGGGCGTTTTGGTGTTTGCCTGTAAAACTAGCTTTTCAGGAGGCTGAGGCAGGAGGCCGGCTTGAGCCCAGGAGTTGGAGGTTGCTGTGAGCGAGGCTGACACTATGGCACTCTAGCCCAGGTGACAGGGCGAGACTCTTGTCTCAAAAAAAAAAAAAAATCCACCATGCTGAGCCCGCCTGGTACAACAGAGCAGGCCTGGTGTCCAATTCTGCAGCGGTTCCAGAAGGGCAGTAACATGTTCTCTTACTCTGGGGTTCAGCCTCTGCTTGGAGCAAACCAAGAGTCTTCGTTTTGAATCGATGCAGATGCACTAGAATGTGTCCGAATGAAGGACAAGGGCTGAGCCCACCGTAGCGACCCCCCATGGTGCAGGTGGAGTCTGGGCTTGGCCCCGCCCCCGCTCCAGGGCTTTGAGGCTTGGCTGGATCTCGGAGAAGGGAAGCACCCACGTGCAGACAGGCCGGGGCCCAGCGGGCTGCTGCGGGAGCCGAGAGGCCCGCGTCCCACCCTCCCCCGCTCCGTTTGGCAGGTACAGCAACATATTTCAGGTCTTCATCCGCATCTCGCGAGAGGAGGGCCTGAAGACCCTCTACCACGGGTTTACGCCCACCATGCTGGGGGTCATTCCGTACGCCGGCCTGAGCTTCTTCACCTACGAGACGCTGAAGGGCCTGCACAGAGGTAAGGGGCGTGGGGGCTCGGGGAAGGGGCGGCAGCTCCGCCGGGGTCACGCAGACAGGGGAGGACAGAGAATGACGGAACAGCACTCACACCTGCCGCCCGTGTGAACAGGTGCGAGCGCGCTGCCGTCGTGCTCCCAGGTGCTTTTTGCTAAAGAATTAAAACGTTGTGGGTAAAGTTGAGGCCCGGACTCTATTAGAGGTGTGGGCTGCATTCCCCGCGGACGGCTTTGGAGGTGTGAGCAGCGCTGTGACATTCCACCGCATGGAAAGCGCCCCAGACGGAGTCAGCTCGCCTGGCGCGCAGCTGCCCCCCCCTGCCCCCGCTGGTTCGGGCTCCACCCCGCTAGTGGCGACACCGCGCGCCTCCCCCTCTTGGAGGTGTCAGGCTGTTTCCAGATTTTCTGTGACCAGCCAACATCCGGGACTCATCTCCTTATGTGGGTGTGAGACCCCGTGGTCAGGTTTTCTCCCCACAAAGGGCCTCCCAGCACCCTGTCCCCGCGTTCTCACCCCCGCACGGTGCCGGCAGACCGCGTGTGTCTGCCCGGCAGGTGCCCTGGATAGCAGCGTCCCCGTCTGCCTGTTCGGAATTCCTAGCTCTGAATTCACCGCTGCAGGCCGGGCGCGGCGGCGCACGCCTGTCGTCCCAGCACTCTGGGAGGCGGAGGCGGGAGGATCGCTCGAGCTCAGGAGTTGGAGACCAGCCTGAGCAAGAGTGATACCCCGTCTCTACTAAAAATAGAAAGAAATTAGCTGGACAACTAAAAATATATAGAAAAAATGGGCCAGGCATGGTGGCGCGTGCCTGTAGTCCCAGCTATTCAGGAGGCCGAGGCAGGAGGATCGCTTGAGCCCAGGAGTTGGAGGTTGCTGTGAGCGAGGCTGACGCCACAGTGCTCACTCTAGCCAGGGGAACAGAGCGAGACTCTGTCTCCAAAAAAAAAGCTCTGATCAACCGGTTGTGGCTCTTTCCTCCGTCGTGTCTGCAAGTCCCGTGTAGACCCACGCAGCAGTGCTCCGTGTGGTTCAGGGTCACACGTGTCCGTTCTTGGAACCACTTGCAGGGCGCTCCAGAGGGGGCCGGTGGGCCGCCGGGCAGGGCGAGGATTCGGAATGGTCCCGACTGGATGAGAGCCAGTGGCTCTCGGGGCTGGTTGTGTGATTTTGTGTGCTTTTCTGTCTTTTAAGAAATTTGACTAATCGATTTTGATTGAAAAGGAGTGAGTGGGAGGTGAGGCCCTGCGGCGCGGGGGTGCAGGCGCGCGCGAGCGCGCGCTCGCTGGCGGGCCGCTGGCGTGGGCGCGGTGCTCGCCCCTCCCGGCGCGCTCACGCCCCTCCCGGCCCCGCCCGCAGAGTACAGCGGCCGCCAGCAGCCCTACCCCTTCGAGCGCATGATCTTCGGCGCCTGCGCCGGCCTCATCGGGCAGTCGGCCTCGTACCCGCTGGACGTGGTGCGGCGGCGCATGCAGACGGCCGGCGTCACCGGCCACCCGCGCGCCTCCATCGCGTGCACGCTGCGCACCATCGTGCGGGAGGAGGGCGCGGTGCGCGGCCTCTACAAGGGCCTGAGCATGAACTGGCTCAAGGGCCCCATCGCCGTGGGCATCAGCTTCACCACCTTCGACCTCATGCAGATCCTGCTGCGGCGCCTGCGGAGCTAGGGGCCCTGCGGCGGCGGCCGGCTGCTCTCGCGACGGGGACCCGCGACCCCTTCGGATTTCTGAGCCCGCGGAGTGCGCTGTGCTCGGCTCCACCGCGGGAACCGCGTCAGGGGCTTTGTGGGACAAGCAGGCGGGCCAGGGGGCCGGGCTCGTAGCCCTTGAGTGTTGGGACGATGGGCTCAGGGTCGCCGTGGCTGTCCTCTTCCTCCGCCCAGGTCTGCAGTGCCTCGGGAGGGGGGTGTCGCCCGGAGGCCCTGAGTCCGGAGCGGTCAGCCCGCCTCCTGGCCGTGTGCGTCCGCCAACGTGCTGCTGATTCGAGTGTCCCTGTCCCCACGAGGCTCGGGGCCACACTCGCCCACCCCTTCTCGGTCTGACTGTGCCTGCGTGCCTGGCCTCCGGCCTGGGCGGGTGCCTGTCCCGGCGGCCGGACCCTGACCAGGGTGGGACAAGCCTCATGCTCAGTTTGGCCACAGATGCAGGGCTCCTTGCGCACTCAAGCCACCCTGCCTGTCCTGCCCTCCCGGAGGACAGGGACCCCTCCAACCCGAGAGCCTCCTGCTCAGAAACCGGCTTCTCCCGACAGCCCCTTCCTCGCCTCTGCCGTCAGCCTGGGGCCCCCAGCTGCCCACCCGGCGGTAACCTGCTCAGGAGGGTCACGCTTCCGCCTCACGGCAGGGTTTGAAGCACAGACCACGAGCCGGAACCACTTCAGGTGTGGGTCTGACCCGCGACCTGGCTATATCGGCTGACATCAGAGCACCCGGCCGTGAAGCTCCTGCCGTCCCGGCTCCCCCACCTCAGCGGGCACTCAGCCGGGCACAGAGCAATTGCAGGCCCACAAGGGTGTCTGATCTCCGTGAACGGAGCACAGGTGGCTCGTGGCGTCGGCCCTCCCAGAGTGGGAGCCCGTGACAGTGGGTGGCCCGGCGTGGGCAGTGCGGGAGAGCAGAGGCACCCCGGGGAACCCCCCGGCTGGCTGGGCTCTCAGAGACGTCCCCAGGACTCCCAGGTACTGGGGACTCAGAAATACCCAATAATGATGTTTTGGGTTTCTCGGCTTTTTGTTTCGTCTTGTTCTTGAAATTGGCCAACCCTGGGTTTATTCACATCAAACCCCTGACTGGTCCCATCTGGTTCCCCGGCGACGGGGACCCCGAAGGTTGGTTTCCGTAGCTGACTCAGCCGCCACACTGTGTGCGTCCCCCCGCCCCCCCTTCCTGCCCTTCTGGCCATGGCCCTGCGGGTGAGGACCCCTCTCTGGCCTCATCCCCAGGGGCCCAGGCAGCCTGCGATGGCCTGTCCTGTTGGGTGGGCATCCGTTCCCCAGCACTAAGACTCGGCGGGAGGGGCCGGGGCACCCCTCACAGGGAGATGGGGGGACCTGAGCCCCCCACCCCGGGAAGGTGAGGGCAGCAGGGGCTGGGGGTCCACCCCAGGCGGGTGAGACCAAACGGGGGGCTGGGGGGTGGCCTCCTCTGGGCCCCCGGCGAGGTGGGAGAGACGAGGGCTGGGAGGGCCCCAGTGTGCTTCCCCGAGGTGGCTCCTGGCTGGGTGGGCCGTGGCCGTGCCGTGCCCCAGCCCTGCACATGGCCCGGCCGCTGGGGGCACCCGCCTCCCTGCTGATCGCTGGTCCTGGTCTGGAGTTATATTTTCATGCCATGAAGACACTTTGTTTATATATAATGTTTATATATTTTAAAGATTTGTGCCAAGAGAGTATATTTAATAAAAATCGAAATGAATTTTGCCCACGTTTCGTCCTCTTTGGCTCCAAGCACCTACCTTCCCCCAGGAAGCCCAGAAGAGAGTTGATGTCGTTTCCATGTATTTGCGAATAAAGTCCTTATTTTTTTGAGACAGAGTCTCACTCTGTTGCCCAGGCTAGAGTGCCGTGGCGTCAGCCTAGCTCACAGAAACCTCAAACTCCTGGGCTCAAGCCATCCTCCTGCCTCAGCCTCCCGAGTAGCTGGGACTACAGGCATGTGCCACCAGGCCCGGCTAATTCTTTCTATATATTTTTAGTTGGCCAGTTAATTTCTTCCTATTCTTAGTAGAGACGGGGTCTTGCTCTTGCTCAGGCTGATTTCGAACTCCTGACCTTGAGCAATCCTCCCGCCTCGGCCTCCCAGAGTGCTGGGATAGCAGGCGTGAGCCACCTCGCCCGGCCTTCGGTCCTCTCTTTACCCCTAGGCCTTTGCTCCCTGTCTCCCTTCTGCTCTGTTCTCCCTCCGGCCCAGGCCCCCACCGTGCGACCCGGCCGGTGCCACACGGACATGCAGGACATGCCAGAAGCCACTGGCGCAGGCCAGCGTCCGCCACCGCCACCACTGGCTCCCGTTGGTAAAAATCGACCTGCTCCTTTATTTACCCAGAAGCGCGGTCCCACCCCCAACTCAGACTCGGCACAGGCGCTTCAGCGACAATGGCTTCGCACCCTCCTGCCGCAGGGCCCAGGAGAGACAGTTTCCAGGCGCACAAAGTCCAAGTGGGGCCACAGCTCAGGCACTGCGGTGAAGGGGACGGTGGCGAGTCCCAGCCCCATCTTGCAGCTGGGGACACTGAGGCACACACGGGGGGGGGGCTGGCTGGTGTCCCACCGGCCCAGGACCAGACCTCGGGGCCCCAGGAGGGTCTGCAGGCAGCTAGGAGCCCGCCAAGTGTTGGTGGAAGTAGAGGCCGAAGAGGCTGGAGAGAAGCTGGCAGGCGGCCGTCCACCAGACGAGGTAGGCCAGGACACCGCGGAGGAAGAGAGGCGTGAGCAAGCCGCCCAGGGCCCCGGCGATGCGGGCCGCCGTCTGCTGCGCTTCGTCCGCCCCGGGGCTGACCGGGACAGCGCTGGCTGAGGACGGGGTGGGGGACAGCGGGGGTGCAGGGCCCAGGCCCCAGGAGTAGCCACCTGGGATAAGAGGGCGATGGAAGGAAGTATGGGTGGAGGCACAGGAAGGGTCGGCCTCCCGGCCCCCACCCAGGCTCCTCCTCCTGCTCAGGCCCTGCCCTGGCTCCTCCTCCTGTCCAGGGCCCGCCCCTACTCCAGGCCCCTCCTCCTGCCCAGGCCCTGCCCTGCCCTGGCTCCTCCTCCTGTACAGGCCCCACCTCTACCCCACCCCTCCTCCTGCTCAGGCTCCTCCTCCTCAGGCCCCGCCCCTACTCCAGGCCCCTCCTCCTGCTCAGGCTCCAACTCCGGCCCAGGCCCTGCCCCCACTCCAGGCTCCTCCTCCTGCTCAGGCTCCTCCTCCTGTATAGGCCCCGCCTCTACCCCAGCCCCTCCTCCTGCTCAGGCTCCTCCTCCTGTATAGGCCCCGCCTCTATCCCGGCCCCTCCTCCTGCTCAGGCTCCTCCTCCTGTATAGGCCCCGCCTCTACCCCGGCCCCTCCTCCTGCTCAGGCTCCTCCTCCTGTACAGGCCCCGCCCCTCCTGCTCAGGCTCCAACTCCTGCCCAGGCCCTGCCCCTACTCCAGGCCCCTCCTCCTGCTCAGGTTCCTCTTCCTGTCCAGACCCTGCCCATACCCCAAGCCCCTCCTCCTCCCCAGGTTCCTCCTCCTCAGGCTCCTCCTCCTGACCAGGCCCCACCCCCCTATTCCCGGCCTCTCCTCCTGCCCAGGCTCCTCCCCCTGCTCAGGCCCTGCCCTACCCAGGCTCTTCCCCCTCAGGCCCTGCCCCTACCCCAGGCCCCTCTTCCTGCTCAGCCTCCACCCACACCCCAGGTCCCTCCTCCTGGTCAGGCCCTGCCCTGCCCAGGCTCCTCCTCCTCAGGCCCGGCCCCTACCCCAGGCC